ACTTGATGTTTCTCTTTGTGGAACATTCTACGCCATTCTTCGAACATTCTGCCTATTTCTCGTTGTTCGCTTTGTGTTGCCGCAGTATTCGCCACAATATAATAAATTTGTTTGCAACTGCCACCTAACAAAGCTGCATTAAAATTAATATAAGCGGCGTAAGCCTTTTCGATCAGATGTTTAGGCTAAGCCCAACACGCTGAGTTCAGGTAGCGTAAAAGTTTTCCGCTGGAAAAAATGGCGGAAAGTTGCCAACTGTTGGGCTGAGCGTAGCTACTCAACTGTGCGTTTCCCTGCAAAAATCGTGGGACCATGTAGTCTATTTGTGGTATATTGGAGTACTTACAAAAGTGCTCCTCTGTCATGCTGTAGCGGACCAACTCGTGTCTCTGCACCAGCTTATTGTTACCCGATCACTGCTCGTGTTTTTACGAAATGTGATTGAAGTTAAGCATTTGAAAGTACATTTGCATGTCTGGCTGTAGCTGAACGTGTAGAGATGCTCGCTGTTAGTTCTTAGCTCCCAGCATGTTCGGGTTCGAATGTCGTCAGAGGCAACATGTAATTTTTAATTTTTGTTTTTTAGTTTTTATTAATTTCAAAAAAAACATCTGTGAAGTGAAGAACAAAAGCGTGTACAAGCGAAAAAATATAACGATAATGTCATTGGAGTATGTTGGGAGTAGTTTTGTGCTACTCTGATGTAATGCAGAGATGGAGTATATGGTCCTGCCCTAGGACATCGCAATGTTAATTGGACCATATTTTTTATATGAATTGTGGTTAATTTTGGAGTACTCCTTGGTCCTTCGGGAGTACTCTTTACATGCATGCATGGGTAGTCGCGATTTTTGCAGGATTCTAAGACAAACAGCCAACGGTTACCCAACAGCTACGACTTATGAACGCGCCCATTATAAATAAAATCGGCTGTGCTAGAGGTTTTAAATTCTCGATAGTCAACTATTACTATCGATAATTTAACGTTTATTGAGAAAAACTATCACAACTCATCGATAGGAGCAAAAAAATAAAACTATCNACATTTGCATGTCTGGCTGTAGCTGAACGTGTAGAGATGCTCGCTGTTAGTTCTTAGCTTCCAGCATGTTCGGGTTCGAATGTCGTCAAAGGTAATTTTTAATTTTTGTTTTTGGTTTTTATTAATTTCAAAAAAAGCATCTGTGAAGTGAAGAACAAAAGCGTGTATAAGCGAAAAAATATAACGACAATGTCATTGGAGTATGTTGGGAATAGTTTTGTGCTACTCTGATGTAATGCAGAGATGGATTATATGGTCCTGCCCTAGGACATCGCAATGTTAATTGGACCATATTTTTTATATGAATTGTGGTTAATTTTGGAGTACTCCTTGGTCCTTCGGGAGTACTCTTTACATGCATGCATGGGTAGTCGCGATTTTTGCAGGATTCTAAGACAAACAGCCAACGGTTACCCAACAGCTACGACTTATGAACGCGCCNGTACAAACGAAAAAATATAACGATAATGTCATTGGAGTATGTTGGGAGTAGTTTTGTGCTACTCTGATGTAATGCAGAGATGGAGTATATGGTCCTGCCCTAGGACATCGCAATGTTAATTGGACCATATTTTTTATATGAATTGTGGTTAATTTTGGGGTACTCATTGGGCCTTCGGGAGTACTCTTTACATGCATGCATGGATTTCGCGATTTTTGCAGGGNAGTACTCTTTACATGCATGCATGGGTAGTCGCGATTTTTGCAGGATTCTAAGACAAACAGCCAACGCTTACCCAACAGCTACGACTTATGAACGCGCCCATTATAAATAAAATCGGCTGTGCTAGAGGTTTTAAATTCTCGATAGTCAACTATTACTATCGATAATTTAACGTTTATTGAGAAAAACTATCACTATTCATCGATAGGAGCAAAAAAATAAAACTATCGATACTATCGATAGTTCCATCGGTAGTTTGATACCTCTAATCGATAGTGCCATCGATAGTTTGCCACCCCTAGTTTGTGGTTTTGAATGCTGATGTAAAGAGAAAGAAAATACTTTCGGTCGAAGCGAAATCGATTAGTTTGTGTTAAACATATCTATTGCCAATAAAGAGGCCTCTTAAATTGTTAATGAATAATTTTTGTAAGAACTACTAGTTGAAACGCTATTCGTCAGCTGTCGTTTTTTTAACATGACTNCATGGATTTCGCGATTTTTGCAGGGTTCTAAGACAAACAGCCAACGGTTACCCAACAGCTACGATTTATGAACGCGCCCATTATAAATAAAATCGGCTGTGCTAGAGGTTTTAAACTCTCGGTAGTCAACTATTACTATCGATAATTTAACGTTTATTGAGAAAAACTATCACTATTCATCGATAGGAGCAAAAAAATAAAACTATCGATACTATCGATAGTTCCATCGGTAGTTTGATACCTCTAATCGATAGTGCCATCGATAGTTTGCCACCCCTAGTTTGTGGTTTTGAATGCTGATGTAAAGAGAAAGAAAATACTTTCGGTCGAAGCGAAATCGATTAGTTTGTGTTAAACATATCTATTGCCAATAAAGAGGCCTCTTAAATTGTTAATGAATAATTTTTGTAAGAACTACTAGTTGAAAAAGTATTCGTCAGCTGTCGTTTTTTTAACATGACCGTAATGCGTATGTATTTAATTTCAGGGGATGAGTGTAGAGTTGTCTTCCCCCGAGATGATGGTGTGCCAAACACTGCGCGCTGCCACGGATCCAAATCATGAAGTTGTTTTGAAAGCCGAGGCGCAGTTAGCAGAATGGGAACTACAGCCTGGATTCTTCCCTACTCTAGCCCGCTTTTCTACGTTGCATGCCGGAAACGAAGCCGGACAGCAGCATTTACAGATAGATCTGAATGTACGCTGGATGGCGGCTGTATACTTAAAGAATGGTATCAATAAGTATTGGAGGCGGAATGTGCGGCATGAGCTACCTAGTGAAGAGAAACAACAAATTCGAGAGATTCTTTTGAAAAAATTTAGTACGGAACCAGTACCACAAGTAATGTTGCAGATAGCTGTGCTTATAGCACGTATAGCTCGTATTGATTGTCCTCGCGACTGGCCAGAGTTAATACCTCAACTGATGAAACAGCTACAGATATGTGCACAAACGGAAGGTGATGCAGGTGAACAACATCGAGTATTGCTTGTTCTACATCATGTGGTAAAAGCGCTGGCGTCTCGTCGCATGATGGCGGAAAAGCGAGTTTTTGAAGAGCTAACAGGAAATTTGTTCGTATATATGAAAGATATATGGGATGCTTTCACAACTCTATTTTTTCACCAACTTAAGACGGCTTCTGTGAACGCGATATCAACTTTGGAACGTGCTCTATTGACTACGCGCATTTTAAGAAAACTAACGGTGTATGGATTTTCAAAGCCTTTTAAAATTGAGTGTTGCATGAGCTTCCTTGAACTGTTATTCGCTCGTCTTAAACAGTGCTTGGAATGTCGGTATGAACTGCAACATCTTGGAGCTGAAGACCAACTGGTAGCTTTAATGGAAAAGTTCATACTGAAACAAATAAAGACGCTAACGGAGTTTCAAGATATGCACTCTAGCTCGTTTGCTCGATTTGTTCCTGAAGCACTAGAATTTAGTTTTGAGCATGTATTCTATGAACGTGCGCGTCTTATATTTTCTGAGAATGTCATAAATTTCAGCAATTTTGCCATACATTGTATCAATCTTATGAAAGGTATAATGATGTGTAGCGCTTATGCTAATTCGGCAACAACTGGCGAACACGTTTTAACAGAGCCTAATCCAGCTCCACATATAGCTCTATCAGACTTTTTCACTGACGATCGACTCTCTTATATTTGCGAAAAAATTATCACTCATTATTTCTTGTTGACGCAAATCGAGCTTGATCAGTGGATGGAGGATGCCGAGAGTTTCGCACAAGATGATGGCGGTGAAAGCTGGAAGTATGCACTTCGACCTTGTATTGAATCGTTCTTCCTTACATGTTTCAGTCAATATCAGACAAAAATGACTGCTGAAGTAGTGAAGTACATTCGAAAAGCTCAGCAAATCGAACTGTCACCATCATCTGATCTCAAGGACATACTTATAAAAGACGCCATATATAACGCCGCAGGACTAGCTTCTTTTCATTTTTTTAATGATATCGATTTTGATGTTTGGTTTGGTAATCAACTTTTGTCAGAACTCCGAATCGAAAGTGATAATTTTCGTATACTCCGTCGGCGAATTATTTGGTTAGTAGCCGAATGGGCGGCAGTTAAATTTTCTAGAAATTTACGACCTCTAGCTTATGAAGCTTGTTTACATTTACTTCGGTCTACTGAGGATATGTCCATACGCCTGGCAGCTTCTCGCACACTATCTACATTAATTGGGGACTTCGAGTTTGCACCTGAGCCTTTCTTACCTTATTTGGAACCGTCATTTAATGCGTTATTTGTGCTCTTGGGAGAGGCTAGAGAATGTGACACCAAAATGAATGTTTTGACAATAATGTCGTGTCTTGTGGAAAAGATGAGCGATAACATAGAACCACAAGCAGACAATCTGATATCGTATTTGCCCCTACTGTGGAAAGAAAGTGAGGACTACAACATGTTGCGATGTGCTATCATTTGTACGTTGCAGCAATTAGCAAAAGCGTTACGTGACATCCCAGAATCCATGAAACCATTCCTGTACAACGTAATTCAACTCAGTACGGATCTCCAGGTATATTAACTATGAGTCAGATTCGTGAAAGCGATCACTACAATTTATTTTTCGATTTAACAGCCTTTTTATCTATCTCGAACGATAGGCCTCACGAACAATTCGTCTACAGGCAATATGGTCACTGCTTGCAATTTTGTATCCCTGTTTTATTGTTATCGTTGTTGTAGCCTTGATTTTACGTCAATTACGTTTGGTCTAGTTAAACTGATGTTGCCAAACATATTTTTGCAACATTTTATTTGCAATTGCGTGTCGTGCTGCCAGTCGATTCCGACTTGCACAATACCAACATTCGAGCGAAACATCTAGCAGAAGAAACGAACGTTCGTTCCGAGAGGGATAGGCTGTAAACATGATACCAAAGTAAGGTAGTTCTGGGTATATTGTGGAACGATTTTCAGTCATCCTACCCTGTCTGAAACACCAACAGCGAAAATTAGAGTAGTTCTGAGTATTTAGTTTTATGCATACTAACAAAAAAAAGGTAGTTCCATGCCATGGTATAATTCCACCATGGTTCCATACCTGGTCGGAATTGGTGTGTAATCGACGTGAATTCCTAGCGGTAGCTTGACCTCCTTCGTCGAGGTTGTGAACAGGGTCGCAGAGGATTTCGTAGGGGAGAGGGCTAGACACTTTGCAGTGAAGAAGCGAGAATGTTCAGAGAGATATCCGTTTACTTTCGAACACAGGTCATCAATTCCATTCCCAGTCGCCATGATCGAGCAATCGTCGGCGTAAGAGACAATCGAGACTCCCTCTGGCGGTTGAGGGAGCTTTGAAATGTAAAAGTTAAACAGTAGTGGGGAAAGGACACAACCCTGTGGAACCCCCTGTTTTATTTTCCTAAGTTTGCTCGATTTGTGACTAAAACCTTACCGACGACTGTCGACCACTCAGATAATTTGCCGACCACGTTTGAGCCTCTGTGGGAGAGAGGAAGCCTCTATATCTTCTAGTAGCGTGGAATGGCTGACAGTGTCAAAAGCCTTTGACAAGTCCAACGCTACTAGAATCGTTCTCTCACAGGGACGTTTACGGTTATCTGAGTGTTTATGGCGTTAAGTGCTGTTGTTGTACTGTGCACTTTAGGGAAACCATGCTGATGCTTCGCTGGGGTCAAGTGGTTTGTGAAATACGGGAGCAGCAAGGCCTCGAGTGTCTTCGCTACCGGGGAGAGGAGTGTTATCGGCCGATAAGAATCTCCTATGTTGGCAGGTTTCCCCGGTTTGAGCAGTGGGACCATTCTCCCCACCTTCCAGATGTCTGGGATGATGAGAGTGGCCATGGACAAATTGAGGACTTCCGTTAGGTACGCTACCCCCGCGGGACCCAAATTCAGCATCAGCATGCATATTCCGTCGGGACCCATGGCTTTGGAGGCTTTCGCCTTCCCGATGGCCACCTGAACTTCACCGCAAGTGAAAGCAA